TGTAAAAACTATATTCAGATCAAAGAAAGATTATGAAATTTTATATATATCAAGTAGGTACTGTAACGTCCGTGACGTTGTAGCCTCCTTGTTTAGGTAAACTCTTTGCTTTTGCAATGCCTACGGTTGGCAGTTATATTAAAAAGTTATTGTCATGATTTTAAGATTTGAAATAAGGAATCGTCTGTCTTTTGATAGAAGGTTCCATTCAAGAGCAGGCTGGCGCTCATGCAGACGTCAGCGATACTGACGATGATCCACCCTGAAGATGATGGAGACACCCTCTATAATCCGCGTCGTTTCGTTTCAATTTGGTCGCGTCGCGTTCGTCGAAATCGTCACTTGTAGTAGTTTGAGTTGGGGGTAGGGAACCCTTAGTATTCCATGGGAATTGGGTTTAATCTTGTTTGATGCTAGATGTCCTTACCCAAAATTTCTATTACGTTTGCGCATCATGGGTGTCTAATAAAGTACAAGACAATAAAGTGGTGGACCACGTCTGTATCTTTATTAAAGATGTACGAAAGTAAACATTAATTATAAATTCTTTTAGGTTTTGCTCAAATCCAGTTAATGTTTACGAATCTTAGGAAATAGTTTGAATTTCGTTTCGTACATCTACTTAGTATGTGAAGTAATGAGGTTTCAAAATATAAATTTTCTTGATATTTAATGGTTTAATAAATGGGATAGGGTAAAGTTTTGCTGATAGATGGGATAAAATAAAAATAGTTTGGGTAATTTAAGGAATAGTTAGGGATAGCTTTGTTTTTTTGTTTTTGCCGACTGATGTCGATGTAAAGTAAAGTAAAGTTAAGGTTAGGGGGGAGATGTACGAGGGATTTTGTTAAGGTTTTGCTCCCGTAAAGTCTTTGCAATAAAACTTTGCAAACAGTTAGGGTTCTTTTCCCGTAAAGTTTTTTTTTTGCAAGTTTTGCAAACTTATTGTGAGGGCTAGTCTGTAGTAAAGGCCACTTCCCAGTTGTATTTATGTCCTTAAGCAGGTAGGGATTTTAGATAGGACCGTCGAACCCTCTCGATGTAGTAGGTAGGAAAAAAAAATTTTTTTCGGTCATCTGGTATGACAAAACAATTTTTTTTTAGAGGTGCCGGAGGGATGTAACGTCCGTGACGTTGCAGCCTCCTTGTTTAGGTAAACTCTTTGCTTTTGCAATGCCTACGGTTGGCAGTTATATTAAAAAGTTAATGTCATGATTTTAAGATTTGAAATAAGGAATCGTCTGTCTTTTGATAGAAGGTTCCATTCAAGAGTAGATCTTCAGGCACCAAGAAAACCTCTCGTATTTAGATAAAATTCTTTATATTCGCCTGAATGATAATATAAAATAATAACCATCGTCAAGTTGTTTTAATGAAGAGCCACGTCCCCAGGTTCTATCCATTCTGGTATAGAGCTCCATAGTACCTACATACTGTGGTTACCGTGTGTTTAAAGTGTTAATGTCATATGTAAAGGTGCATTATTACGTCGGAGCATTTATGTGAATAAATGCTAAAATCTTCGGCGGATATCCACAAAAAAATGAAATTTTAGTAAAACTTTGTAAAGGAAATAGAACTATATAAAAGTAACCAAAGAAAATTCGTGAGCTCCCTTTCTCTGAAGCGAAATGAACAAAATCTTAAATCTATCTCGGTAAAAAGGGCAAAGGGTAGTTTATGAAATTATTTTAAGCAATACGCTGATTTGTATCATGTTACATGTTAGGCGGAAGGAAGAAAGGGTTTAATGATCAGTACTTTCACCCTGATAGCGAAGGATTTGGTCGAATTCAACTTGGGCTGTGTTGGATTTGATAGTAAACAGTTTCTTTAGAGAATCTAATACTTACGTGTTTTAATAAAATTAGGATAAAGATTAGTTCATTAAAACCCGTAAAAACGCAAAACCTACTTCTTAGACACGGCTAGTATTGAAAGAAATTAAAAACAAGAAGACATCAGACTTACTGAAAAAACCGTTTTATAGCTTGTGACCATTTCTTAATTTTTTAATAAATGTATTGTATCATAGAAACAGAAATTAAAAGTTATAGTCAATGAATAGCTAGATGATAAGCGATTTATCATGCATGACATTCTTAAAATAAAATTTGATTACAAGCTGACCCGGTGAACTTCGTACTGCTTACAATAATTTGGAGGAAATAAAAGCTATCCGTTTGACAGGAACACAGCTTTTACCTTTTTTACGAACGCAGTTTGGCTGGGTTCAACCGAATGAAAGGAGTTCCATTTCGATTTTGATGCAAGCGACAAAATCAAAAAGGTACTTGTTGGCGTTTTGACGAATTATCTCACAATAATTATACCATAGATAAATGATTGGTCTCGCTAAAGAGTGATACAATCATTTATCTATGAATTATATGTGATAATTTATCGAGCAGAACTTCTTAGTAGTTTTCTCACCTGATACAAAGACACTCAGTATCTATTCTCAAAACACAGTCAATCTGTAAGTCGACCCTTACAACTTACTGGAAAATTAAGAGTGGTATTATTTTTTGGAAACCAAAATCAAATGCAGTAATTTACTACTCGGGAAAAATGCCCAGCTACGTACCTGTACCTGGTATAGCGTGTCGTGTGTAGACCGGGTCTTTACAATTTTATCGTACGGGTGCTGTGTCTGCATAATGCTATGCTAGTTTCTTAGCTATGTAGTGTTGGTGTTTGTGGCCTGTGTGGGAGGAGTCGGAAGCGCGTTGGCGCGGATAATTTAGTCGGCTTATTCTAACACGTGCTTTGGCTGACGGAAACGGAGGGACCTACGATTGGAGGACGGGACTGGTGATAACTAAAGGCTTTAACTACTAACGGGTTCGGATTATGCGCGGCTTTACTGAATTAACGCCTCGAGGCGTCCTTCTACGATACTTCGCGATGGAATTTAAGTTGAGATCGCGATGCAAATCGATATTGCGCACGAACCACGGGCAACGCGTGGTACCGCGCAATACACAATTTTGCCGCGTTTGTAAGGGTTTAAGACGCGACGGAGGTACGTGAGCGAAGCAAACACTCGCGTAGATCATGATAGGATGCGAGTTTTGTAAATTGTCAACTTATGCCTAAGAGACATTTAACTATGCTTCCCTGTGAGGTGGAATAGCCTACCGCGATCACGAACTATCTTGAGATAAGGTGCTAACGTTAATCGCTTATCTAACGTGACACCCCAGTACTTGACCCGACCGGGTCCAATTATTTGACCAGGTCATCCCTTGGGAACTCTCCCAGGGGATGTTCGGAAGAAAATCCGTTTGAGGCGGTGTCATGCTAAAAAGGATCGCGACGCTTTTTTCCGGATTAACATCGATACGTCATCTACGGAACCAGTCGCCAAGGGTGGTAGCGGCTGATTGAAGTCTGTTACAGTATGTTCCGAGACGTCTATCGGAGGTATATCGTTATAGACCAAATGCGCCACGACCTATTTTTTTTGAAGTGAAAACTTCTTTAGCGGCGTTGTACACTTTTTTTGTGTGGGTAAAAAATGTTAAACTCTCGTCAGGTTAAACACGTGGGCTGATCACATCATGATACACAATAAAATTGGAAAGGTGGTTGACTTTCAATATATTGGACGAAATATAGTAATATTTTATTTAACGTATTATAATTATAAGACTATCTAGGACGTCCACGTGGCAGTTTTATTGCGGAGAAAATGCATTTTTTTTACAATAGATGTCGCTAGGTGCGCTTAAATGTGATTCATGTAATTAATTATTAATTAATTTTTCTGAGAGATAAACTTTTATAATGTAATATAAATTGTCATGTTTGTGTACGATAGCGCAATAAATAAATATTGTATTCTACCACATACATGATAGTACTTTTATACTGATAATTAAAGCAATTCGTGCAAAATTATTCCCTAATCATTCCAAAATATCAAAAATGCACATCGTTAATATTCAAGTTTTCACTTCTGCCAGCACTCCCGGAGTGCAACCCGTTATTTTTTTTTACCTATTTTATTAATTGTAACGACCGTTTCATATGCGTGACCGTGTGGCTTCAGCTAGCCGCTAATTTAACTCAATTTTGTTAATCTCACTTAAACTTAAAGTAAGTTAAACTTAATTAACTGAACGTAACTTAAATTTTACTTTACTTAAACTACCCCTAACCTTATGCAACTGATTACCGGAGTTATAATAGTAATTTTATTTTTATTTACCCCATTTACCCGATGCAAAAAAGAAATAGTAGCATTTACTTATTTTTTCAATGAGGGTGATAAAAAGTGGAGTGTCCAGCTCGGAAGTAACAATATTTTAAAGCTCGAACTACGTTCCTACTTTGACAAAAAAAGTCTTTAAAAATAGTTCTAGACTAAAATATTGCGTAAAGAATATACAAAAATATCGATTAGATTAAAGTAGTGCTGAGATTTATTTCTATCAGGAAGATGGTTGTAGCAACTCTATCACTTTTTTCAATAATTTCTTGTAGTTCAGATAAATAAGCGTCCATTTATCCAATTACTGTTAATTAATTTATATACTTTCATGCTTATTTTAAAAAATGGCTATAATAGGGATGATGACGGGGTGTAATAAACGAAATTCTATTTTGTCCGTCGGTTAGCTTATCAAAAAAAAGGACACTTATTTTTGTATTTTGTCAATCAATCCACCAATAAATTACAAAGATATAGCGCGACAAAGTTTGGTGATCGTGAAGTCATATTTAAAAAGTAAAAATTGTACTAAGACGTGACGACTTACGACATTTCAAATGAATATACCTCTGTAATGTTTAGATTGTGCAAAAACGAAAAAAATACGTGTCTTATATTTTTTGATAATCTCCCGATAGACGAAGAAAAATGTTAGTCGTCATCCCTGTTAAGAGCAACGGATTATCAAGGTTTAGATATTAACGTTAGTCCATAAATAACCATAATCATAGGTTATTCACTCATCTGTGGTTTGTTCTTTTTTCAAAGTTATTTTTGTTTTCAGGTATTCGATATCCTATGGTCAGATCCTCAGTGCATTGGCGGTTGTGTGGCGAATGCTTTGCGTGGCGCCGGCACGTACTTCGGACCCGACGTCACCGCAAGTTTCTTGCAGAAGAACAAGCTCAGTTTCGTCGTCCGCAGCCATGAGTGCAAGCCGGGTGGATACGAGATAATGCATAATGGGAACGTGAGTGTTTTTTAATAAAATAGTACTAAAGGTATTTATTTATTTATCTTTTCACTCACATGAAACACAATTTTTAACGGTAATAAATCGCAATTACAATTATTATATTAATATATAAATTTTAACATACAAAACCGCTATTTGATAGAATTTTTTAAAAGATTAAGAAATCAGAAATCAATATATCTTTATTCAATTGGATGTATAGTACAACTCTTTTCGATCATCCAAATTTTTTCCCTACCTCGTTATGGACATATTTTTTAGCTTCGGAGAAAAACGAGCGAAAAAAACTCCACAAAATTAAAAGTCTAATGTAACAACATTTACAAAATCATTATGTTGTAACAACGTCAATACAATTATGATTTATTTAATATAGAAAGATTATGACTTATTTAGTAAAATTAAGTGACTTTATAATTAGAATTATCATTAAGAACTTTATGTTTTTATTCTTTAAAGTTATAGTATTCTTATTCACTACAGTCATCACAAAACAATAGGCCCGTTTTGACGTTTGAAACTTGAAAAAAATAATTATTATTCTTCATTGTCATTAGAGACGTGCAGTTTGTAGTAAAATTTATCGAATCGGTAGGGCAGGGTCGTGATTGGCCATCTTAGTGTTATTATTATTGTTCTTAGGATAAGTATCTCTTTTATTTTATGTTTTTATTCATAGGTTTTTTATTGTGTATAAGATGGCCAATAAAGATTTTTCATTTCATTTCAATTTGGGGATGAAGAATTAAAATTTTACAAAATCATATTAAATTATGGTCGTACTATAGAATATGGTTCCGAAAACTGTTTGTTTTATGTCTAATCAGTAAATATATAATTTTTAACATCCAAAAACCGCTATTAGACAGACAGAATCTTTAAAGATTTAGTAAAATTAATAAACTTTATAATTATCATTAATAACTATATTTCCTTATTCTTTGAAGTTATAGTGTCCTTATTCACAGAATAACTCGCCTCGGAATTTATTTTTTAGAAATTAGGATGGTAAAATTATAAAGCCAATGCGATCACTGTATATAGATTCGTTGAGCGTAAGTTAACATTTACATGTTCCTTTTAATCAATCTATTTAACCAGAAAATACTTGCAATATTAGTTAAAATTACTAAACTATAAACTCTAGTCATTACAAAACTTAGATTAAAACAAAAACGGAGGATACGGCACTCGCGGCTCAAATGTGTGCCGCTTAAATTGTGTTGCATGAACACAATTGGCTTTAGCTTTAGCTTTATTATTCAGGAAACTCCACCACTATGGATTTAGAGATACTGATCTGGATCTTATTGCGTCATACCTGATGGATAGGATTCAGAGGGTTGACATTAACGGCAATAAGTCTGCGGGTTCGCCGGTTAAAATGGGTGTTCCGCAGGGCTCAATCCTTGGTCCTTTCTTATTTTTAATTTATATTAATGACTTGCCTTACTACGTTAGAGATAAGCATGAGATAGTATTGTTCGCGGATGATACATCACTTTTATTTAAACTCAAACGTAAGGAAACAGTTATTGACGACGTGAACAGTCGTATCTCTAGCTAGACTACCTTAGGGTAGTCCACTGGTTTAATGTTAATAATTTATTACTAAATGAAGGAAAAACGAAATGTATGAAATTTGTATTACCTAATGTAAAACAGGTAAAAACCAGTGTGAATGTAAAGGATAGGAATATGGGCCTCGTAGACACCACAGTATTCTTAGGGATTACTTTAGATTCTAAGCTTCAATGGGGCCCACATATTGATAAATTGTCAAATAGACTTAGTTCTGCAGCATATGCCGTAATGAAGATACGCCAGTTAACGGATGTAGATACGGCCAGATTAGTATACTTTAGTTATTTCCATAGTGTAATGTCGTACGGAATTTTATTGTGGGGAAACGCCGCCGACATTCAAGCTATTTTTGTACTGCAGAAGAGAGCTATTCGATCAATTTATAATCTTAAAGTTAAGGATTCCTTAAGAGATAGGTTTAAAGAATTTGGTATAATGACGGTCGCATCACAATACATTTACGAAAATTTATTACTTGTTTGTTAAAAACAGTGATTTGTTTCTTAAAAACAGTGATGTTCACACATTTAATTCTCAAGAAACAAAAATAAACTAACTCTACCTGCTACTAGGCTTCACAAAATCAATAATTCATTTAAAGGTCTTTGTGTTCGCTTATACAATAAAGTCCCAAGCAATATCCAAGAGTTAAGCATAAATAAATTCAAAGATAGTATAAAAAAAGCACTTATTAAAAAAGCTTATTACAAAGTGTCTAATTATATTACAGACAAAAATGCTTGGGTTTGAACTGTTCCAATCATTCCAACAGGTGTTCTATATTAAATAAATCATGATTGTATTGACGTTGTAACAACATAATGATTTGTAAATGTTGTTACATTATTCTTTTAATGTTGTGGAGTTTTTTTCGCTCGTTTTTCTCCGCAGCTAAAAAATATGTCCAATAACGAGTGGTAGGGAAAAAAATGTTTGGACAATTCAAAAGTGTTGTACTATACATCCAATTTGAATAAAGATATATTGATTTCTGATTTCTGATTTAGTCACAATTTGACATCTTAACACACTGCATGTGCACTCAATATTTTTTATATTCTGTGTTATAAAGATAAAATAATGCCTTAAAGCTGAAATATTGTTCAAGATTGAATAACAAATTCCACAGCAACACTTTTCATTTTTAAACCTGCACAGTTAAAATATATTATAATTTATGAATTGGCACTTAAGCATGTACACAAAGTGATAAGAACGCCGCTATACAATGCTATTGAGTTGATCCCGATGCGATGCTTTAATACAAAGTCATTCTCCACTTAGAAAATTATGACATTGCTGAAAGAAGCTTGTGCCAAAATTACTAAAGAAGATTTGGCAAAAGTGGTAGAAAAGACAAGAAAAATAATAAAGGAAGATTATGACAGAGACATCAATATTGATAATATTATAAAAAATGAAATAATTGAACCACCAGTTGGAAGAAGAGAATAAATCCAAAAACGGAGAATGGAGATAATCACAAAAAACAATTTAAATTTTAAAGTATGAAACTTAGACCCTCGTGACATATGGATGAAAGGAAGATAATATTAAATGATTATTACCTTTTATGTCAAACTGGCAAATAATGATATTTTTTGAAATATATTCATTAAAAAGTTGTGGATTTATTCCCTTCTTCAAATTTATCAAGTTGAATGAAGATAAACTACTCAGAATAATGGCAAATATGTATTTATTTATTATAAATATTGAGATATTTAGCTGCCAATCTATTTTTCGTCATTATCAATCACCTCTGACGTTGTAGTAGGCCAAGTCAAAATAAAATCATATATATATATTTTTTAATTCTTCTGGAATGTATTAAGTAAAAAAAAATGTAAAAGGCATTTCATTCATTTTCTTCACATTTATCGGTATTTTAGAATCATATGCTTTGCCACTGATATTTTTGGGCTACCAAAGATTTTCTGAGCAAAAAAATGGTTTTCATTAAGCCTTATGTATTTATGCTTATAATACTAAGTGCACCTTATGACTTGAAAAGCCTAAGTCATAAGGGGCACCAAGTATGTTCTACAGCTACTGTACTCAAAGCTTCTTTATTGTGAGATCTCGAATATGCTTTTCTTGTCTAATAACTTGCAGGTTTTTTTTTGAACAATCTTTGCCATGTCTGTTTAAAATCAAGAATCTTCTGACGTAATGGGTTTGACGAAAAATTCTCTAGTTTTTGCTGCTGATAAAAGATTATTATGCTATGAGAACGTTAATTCTGTCTTTTCTCCTGATAAGCCTTTTTGCTGTCCCGAAAATTCTATTACACTGTAAATACGAATACCACGCATAGGAAAGTATTGATATATCTTTTCGAAACGACCCATTGCAGTAAGGGGGAGCAAAAATCTTATGAGTGTGTTATTTTACTTTTGACACCAACAAGCACGCATACGCATATGTCAATACAAATGTACTATTTAACAGTTATTCCTATTTGCATATTTATCAGACAATTATAAACTTTAATATTATGGAAGAAGGTGAGTTAGTTGGAAGAAGGAAATAAATCCAAGATTTGTTCCCTTCTTCCAACTAATCGCTTTTTCGATCACATGAAACTATATGAAGATAAAGTAATTTGTTCCTGTTTTCTGACGAATACGGTACGGTTACGTATAAAGTACACAACGACATGTAAAAGTGAATTTGGGAAAAATGGTGTTTATTCCTTTCTTCCAATTGGTGGTTCAATTATATATACAGGCGACGATAGCTCATCCTAAGATTTTGGCTCATCATCAGAAGAAATTTATTGATTTAAGATTATCACGTTCGGATTTCTGTTTTTTTTTTGTGATTGTACGAATGTAATTGTAACTAAAACAAAAAATAACTAAAAGACAATTTGACCTTTCGTAAAAAACCTAACAAATTAAAATTTCTAATCAGAACTTGAATTCAATGCACTTTGCAATACATAATCAAATCATTCAAATAATCATACAAGCTTGAATCGATTTATCGTGAGTATTGTGTACCGAGTTGTATGGTTACATTACTAGTTACAAATGTCAAAACAGGCCTCTTAATTTGTTATAAGTATAGGTAGTCACGCGAGTATTCTGAAGTACCTTTTGTTTATTTTTAGTAATAGGGCTGATGTCAGATGTTTCTCGACTCCTTGTCGCTTTTCACTGTTGGCATTTATTTTATACTTATGGTTAAGGGATATGTTAGACAAAATAGAACTGTTTTGCATTACAACAAAACAGATATTATGTGTTGGATAAAACACAGAGCGTTGGAGTGAAGATGCTGCTTTATGATCTTGCTTACGTTATCTATAGTAACTTTGATGTGTAATGGTAGCTTTACTTACAGTTTTATCTCCTCACTCACCAGGGGGCGCTATCATCTTTGTGATAAAGCGTTGTTTGACATCC